ACAACAATCCTGGTTTTCACCAGAAATTATAAACTGGAAAAGATCCAACCTCTGAAGCTAAATGGCTCGGAGATTAACTACACCAGCAGAGTGAAATATCTGGGTGTCCTCCTGGATAATAAACTCAGCTGGAAAGAACATACCTGTACTCAGAGAAATAAAGTGTTTGCCTCTATGTGGGCATGCAGGAGAGCTGTGGATTCAAGGCATAATTGAGCATAATTATTTTAATGGTGAAGTTGAAAAACGAGACAAGTCAATTTTACTTGAAATTTCAGTCCTGTTTTTTCTTTTAGTTCTCAATATAAAAACGTTCTAATGACCAGTTTCAAGTTGAGTTAAATTAATTCTGAGAAATTCATAATTATTTATAATGAGGTATTCAACTCGAAAATCACTACTTGTAAATGAAAATGTCAAAAGATTTTTTTAGTGAAAATGAGTAATATGTTAAGATTTTCTTCGCCAACAAAGGAAATCCTCTTGACATTTTCTCCTCTGTCATCCTCTCAGTTTAAACTTAATTCTTGATCTGAGGCATTCAAAACTATTAACTTGAGTCTATGAAAGTCTCAAATTGAGATCTCAAAGTCCCAAATTGAGACTTTAGAAACTCTGAAATTGAGGATTTCAGGCTTCAAATTAAGACTTTCGAAAATCTTATCTTAAGACCTTTGAAATCCTCAAATAAAGATAATATTCTTTTGGATGTAATTATTCATAGCGAGATATTCAATTTGAAGACCAATGGTTGTAATTGAAAATGCTAAGAGACTTTTTCATAAATGAAGATGAGCGATTTTTTCATGTTGCTAGTGCCCTTATACGGTCTGCAGATACGTTGTTATGAATAATGTAAATAAACTCGTGATTTAAAGTTTATGGATGTAGAAGGTGCATTATCTATGAGATGCAAATATTTGTCAGAGTTATTACTTTTTTAATATTTATGAGAATTTATGACGTACTTTTTCTTAAAAAAATTATGGAGTCAATTGATTTACTATGAGTGCATCCACAGTTTCTGATGTTTGTAAGGCCTAACGTTTACCCATCAGACTCCAAACCACGGAAAGCTAGATTTGTATAAATGTGTACGTCCACGTGAAAAGGGCCCACTTTGTCGCATCTAGTTTCCGAGATATTCACGTTTTTCTCTCCACATCTCCCATTTAAACCAATGTTAAATTGTTTTTTTGATCGTCTATACTGACGTCAGTTTTCATTCTATCGGGTTGATTTTGGGCTCAAAATGTGAGAAATCTGATCAAGATTATCGGAACATACATAACTCCAATACCGTCAAAGTGGGCCCTTTTCATGTGGATGCCCGCAGATGCAGTTTATGCGATGCTAAACATGTTGTTATTAACAATACCCATTATATGTATCGAGTGGTGATTTATACTGTACGAATGCAGCAGATGCACAACTTATAAATTAAAAATCATTTTTATAGAGTTGTTACTCCTTCGATATCGATATTTACGAGGGTAATATTGTTGGATTTTATACACTTCTGTTATACATATATAAATATCTGTTATTTCTGAAAGATTTTGTATTTTCGAATATCTTGGAGACGGTAAGGACATGTGAAGTACAATGGACACTTGGAAAAGAGACTCAGAGGGAAATTCAATTGAGCTCAATCTAGGCTCGTTGATAAGAGCAAAAAGTCGAATTTCCAGGGAAAAAATATTCTATTCCACCAATAATCTAATGAGGTGTGAAGATTTTCAAATAAATCGAAAGTTTCCCTATTACTTCACTCTCCCAAAGTTGTAAAGTTGTAAAAACGGCAGCTCCTGAAATAATTTAGGATAATAACCAGACATAATTCTTCCATTGAAAAATATTATTTATACACACTCTGTACAAATTTTTCATGATAAAGTCAATGAAACTAATTACAAAATACCATTTTCTAATTTCTACACATTAAAAATGAAAAACATGAATAAACTACCATTGTTCCTCTCCCACAAACTCTTCACGAATGGAAAGATTGTATAAACATGTTCTGTGATTCTGTAATTCTATACGGAATCCTATGGATTCACTGCATATGCCATTCGCATAATTCCTATTCACAGTTTGTCTGCAGTAATTCTTGGGAAATTTTCACAATTTCATAAGTCGTAATTCTTGTCATTTATTTTTATTTCGTGTCGTTTTTTTTATCGAGTTTTTTTCATGTAGATTTTAGACTATAGTTCTTAGACTATAGACTATAGTTTTTCTATGTTCATAATGTAAAATATATCACAATTTCCATTGGATTTTACAGCCCGCAGAAATCCCTAAAAATTATGATTGTACAATCAAAAAAAGTAGGAAAAAAATGAACATTTTTAAAGAGCGCTTTTAATCAAGATTAAGAAATAAGTCCGGTAGAGAGGAAATAGTGAATGGATAATTTATCATGGTAACTAACGATCTGACAGCCGTTGACTACTGTGACAAATGACGACCTAACAGCCGTTAGATACACCAAATTATTAATTTGCAATTTCCTCCCTATTGGGTTTATTTCCCAATATTATTAAAAAACGGTCTTTGAAAATGTTCTGCTTTTTTTATTTTTGATGAATAGCAATTGGGGATGTTTTCAGCTGATCAAAATGAAAAAAACTACCAGGATCACGTTCGAACGATAATCCACCCGGGCCTTAATCCAGAAATTTTTCAAAAATTCCAGAGAATTACTGAATTTTTTTAGAGATGTCACAAAAAAGATTCCTTGTCTTTTCAACTAGGCAACATTTCAACTAACATTTTTTCAACTTGTCACATCTCAACTATGATATTTCAACTGCTCAGATTTAAAAACACGCCATGGATCGCCATGGAAATATGGATCGGACCCAAAGTACGTCGATACCCCCCCCCCCCCCAAATTCGAAATTGATATGTGGAATTCTTATGAAGCGGTAAAAAATGAGGAACCATGCANAAAAATTGAGGAACCACGCACGGCAAATGCAGTGAAAGATTGGCATAACGTCTTCAACACACGTCTTCAAGTATCCCACGTTACTATGAGTCGATTCATTGAAGCCCTTCAGGACGAACAGACTGCAATGGAACTCAGATGGACGCAGACGAATGGTGGCCAGCCCCCTCCAAAAAATGAAAGGCTTACAGAGATCATGAAGCGAGAATCAAGAGAATTGTTAATCGCAACAATGCATTGGACGACACTGAAAACGATCTGCGTGGAATCGCTCAATGCATCTTAATATAAAATGGAAAACAAAATCATCGAAAAAAAACAACTATTAATATTTAATTATTGATCTCTTGTAATTGTTAATATAAAAATAAATTGAATCTTTGTATGATATTAATCATTAATCTATTAGTTCAGTGATTAAATTGAGTTGTATCACTTGTCTGTTGAAAAGCAATGAGTAAAAAAAATAAAAATAAAACAAAATTTCAGTTAATTCCCAAAAATATCGTAATTTCACAAAAACTAGTTGCTATGTTGTAGTTGAAAATTCCATTTCAAATGTCGTAGTCGAAATGTCGTAGTTAAAATTGATCAGTTCAGATGACACTAGTTGAAATATCGCCCAGTTGAAAAGATGTGCCACCACAAAAAATGATCAATTTCTCTAACAGTCTATTGAATTTGTATCGGAACTCTATGACTTTTTTATTTTTATCAAGAAGTTTCCAAGTTTTGTTTGTTTTATTTTTATTTCTCAGGATCACATCTAAGAAAAAAAAACTTAGGAAGTTGAGGACCAAGAATTCTTATAAAAAAATTCTTATAAAAAAAATCCCAACAATCCCTAATAAGTTACAAAAAAAGTCAACATTTATAGACATCTACCAAATAATATCTATTGAACAACGCATGGTGAAATTGCACATTTTTCAATAGAATTGGTGCAAAAATAAAGAGAATTTTAATAAAATGCCCACTGAATTCTTATAGAGTTCCAGTAGAAATTCAACTGATTTTTTTGCAGAAATCTTATTGATCACTGGGTTCTTCTATTAACTTTTTTCTCTAGAACATCCCCTGATTTTAGGACAAAACTACGTCTCCAATTACGTAAAGTACGATCTTATGAAATTCTGTTCATTCTTCGATTCCCCAATTCTTACAGACATCTTATACAAATTTCTGCAGACAAACTGTGCACGGAAAAAAATATAATTCTGCCAATTAATTTCTTTCAAACAAAAATTTATAGTGAAATTTTGTGTCGAAATTTTGGGCATTTGTTTGCACGCACGAAAAAATTTAATAGAAAACTGTATTTTTTGTTTTAAAAATTTGGTAAAAAAATTGTTATTGAATTTTTTTATTAGTTTCTGTTGATTCTATTGAAATGATCAATAGAACTTATTCCATTGACATATTTTCTGTAGAATTTCCTCGTCTCAAAGTTTTTTGTTTCATTTTCTCGATTAAAAGATAAGAAAACTAGAATAAAAAAAACCTAGAAAATTTCAGCTCAGGAAATTTTACACAAAATATCTCAGTAGAATAAGTTGTATAGGAAAATCGAACTCTATTGACTTTTGTTATAGAATATGATTTATTGGAAATTTCAATACAATCAACTAAGAACCAATATAAAATTCAATAAAGATCCAATTTGTATTTTAGTTTTGGCCTCTGCGATCATTATTTGATTCTACATGAAGGAATCCATTACGTCCAAATGATAAAAATAAAATATCATAAAATCTCGAAATATTGTGCTTAGTCCAAATGGCTGGATCAATGTTTACCATTTTGACATAATAGATTCCTTTATGTAGAATCAGCGCAGAGGCCAAAACTAAAATACAAGTTAAAAATTCAGTCGAAATCCTCTCCACATAGAAATCCAATAGAATTGTTTATCGAATTCGCTAGGTCATTCGATTAAATTTTTTGTGCGTGTGTCTGACTCAAATGTGATAGTCAAAATTACATTTGCAGTGTGCATACAAATTCCCCGCCCACCATAATCAACAAACTTACAGAACCCCTTGCAGCATCACGCAATAAGAGCGTCCAACACCCCACCTCCACTCGATTCCTCCCAACTCCCCCAAGCCCCTAAACCCCCTACGGCAGTTTCCGTTTGGTCGGCTCCTCATGGACGCGCACCTGCAGCGAAGACCTTGGTCCGCACTTCCAGACATTGCCATCCTTATCCAGAATGCTAGCACTGGCAGTGACTTGAAACTGATTAGCCCCCGAGCTGTTCCCCCCTCCCGAGCTCCCAGAGCCCCCCGCACACCCCGAGTTTCCCGCTCCCCCGGAGTTCCCCAAAGACAACAAGAACTCACAAGCAAAGAAGTCCCTATGCGGAATAACCGTCTGCTGCAGCTCATTACCCCCATTCACCCCCTCCCCATTACCCCTGTTCTCAGAATTAATCTTCGACGGTGGCGAAGTAGAAATGGAGATGCAAACAGCAGCGACAGACCTGAACAGCGAGGCCTTCTTCCCATGCCTCAAGACCCCCTCGATCTTGAGAGCGAGCTGCGACCCCTGTGGCACACAGACAGGCTCCCCAAGAACTCTGGGCTGCGGTGAAACCGAGAGTTTAACAACAGTGGCCTGCAGTGCCTGGAAGAAGTACCTGGGCATGGGCAGCCTGACCTTGCCCCCAGCCAGCAGAACCACCTGCGAAATGAGTGCCTCCACACTGGGATGCGTAATCACCTGCTGCTCCTCCCCTTGCCCATTGGGCGCCAGCCTCCTCACCTCATTACAGCACTTGGCCAACTGCCTCATCTCCACAGACTCCCCAAAAGAGAACTCAAAAGTCTCGTTCCCCCTGTGATAAGCGCTGGCATTAGAGCTCATGCACACCCTCTCCACCGAGTTGGCCATAACCCTGCACATCTCCTGCAGAGCCTTGATATTATTCAGACTCCCCTGGTCAGCATCGAAGGCCGACTGATACAGCTTCTGATAGCTCTCCGCGCAATTCCTAAAGTCCTTAGCCGACTTCCTCAATTGATAAGTCACTCGTCCGTAAACCTGCAGTTTATCACTCGTCACCTCAGCAATTGACCTCGCAATTGCCGGAGGTGGAGAGGTGCACAGAGACCTGCAGGAGTGCACCAGCTGGGCCAACGCCTGTAGAAACTCACCCCTGAGTTTAGCGTACTCACTCGCAAACTGTAAACTCTTGAGCGGTGTGCTTGCAGCTTTGAGAGCTGCGCAGGCGCTCGCGTACCTCGAGATGGCACCATTGAGCTTCTCAAGGACACTGATCTTCCTCAGAACCCTCGACTCGCTCTTGTTCTCTTCGAGATAGCTCTCTGCGCTGGTCATCAGCTCGAGCCCCGACAGCCAGAAGTGGAGCTGCTCAGAGGCCACGGACTCCCGCAGTCCTTTGAAGATCTTCGTGGCAATCTTGTGGTGTCCGTACCTCGCAGCCCCCCTCCCTATCCGGTATTTGGACCACCCGTCCACCGCCTGGATGACACTCTCAACGGCGTTCAGGCACTCGTCGTTCCACTCGTATCCCCCAGCCACCATTTGAAACAGAATCGTACAGAGCATCACTCTGGTGTCGACGTCCAACGGCTGTTTAATCTTCTCCAGGACGTCTGGGAGAAGCGGCAGCAGTACGTTATCCCCAAAGCTGCCAATAGCGCCTAGTGCCTCGCACAAGACACTCGCCGTCTGCTTCCTCTCCCCCCTGCCAGAGTCCGACTGAGTGTTCATCAAAGTCGTCCCTATGGCGTCCACGAAGACAGGCGCATGTCCAGGATGCGCCTGGCACAGCTTCACTGTTGACACCAAGCACAGCTTCAACTGGTACAGATTCCTGTCGTCGTTGGCGTCCACTGCGAGCAGAACAATCAGGGATTCCAGGCACGAGATGATGTGCTGGATGTTGCTGACTGGAAGCCCCTCCTCGTAGCAGTAGCAGGCGATTCTCGTTAGGACTGTCACCGCCTTGACAGCAACCAGGGGATTGTGGGAGTAGCAAGCGTCGATGCAGAGGGACGCCAGGGGGCTGTTCTCCTCCATGTTGGCGTCGCAGGTGACAGCACTTTGGCTCAGCACCTCGATCACGTCCAGGGTTCTGAGCAGAAGATCGCTGCTTTCGTTTCCGTTCTCGGTGATGGAGAGCTTGGACGCCAGGGTGGAGTCTATGAGGTTTTCGAGGGCCCCTCGAGGCCACAGGTGGGCTCCTCTTCTGGCTAAGTGCAGGAGGAGCTTCAGGGAGTGCCGTTTCACGGAGATTCGGGGGTCGTCTCGGAGGTACGTCAGGAGGAGGCCGACCTGCGTGGGGACGTTGATGAGGGTGGCTGAGGCCAGGGTGCTCATTGCGGAGAGGGTCACTCGGACGAACTCCACTGCTGGGTAGCTGGCGAGGAGCTCCATGCAGAGCTCGTTCACCATCGACGCAGTTGACGTGTCGTGGTGCATGTACTGGAGGATTGGAATCAGCTGGAGCTTCATGGACGCCGGCGTCGCCTGACCCCTGATCATGTCCGAGATCTTACTGCACATGGAGACGGCGAAGAGCTTGGACTGCGCTGCGAACATCCTGGCGGCGTAGATGGCCGCCTCAACTTCCACTGAGTCGTGGGAGTCCAGGGAACGGCGGATGCTGTGGTGGACCTGCTGGCGCTCGGGGATGATCGAGGCCGCTGAGCCCAGGGTGCGCAGCGTGAGGGCACGCGCCACGGGGTCGTTCGAGTGCATCACGCAGTAGATTCGTTTCACGAACTCCTCGACGTTGAGGATTTTGTCGAGGTGCTTCTCGCTTTGCTGGCATACTCGGAGGACCCAGACGCGGAGGAAGTTTGAGCCCAGGCGGAACACGTCGGCGAGCTTCAGGAGAGCTGAGTTGATGAGGATTGGGAAGGGGTACTTTTCGAAGAGCCGGGGGAAGCGGACGATTGCCTCGCAACGCTCGCCTGTGTTTTTCGAGCGGAGACCTGAAAAAAGGGGGTGTTAGATCGAAGGTTTGATGATTTTTGGGGAGGACAGCTGTAGAACTGCGGGACACCCCCAAAAAAGCACTTCTAAATTGAACGATCGACCACTCGCGTTCTAATGCGTAATGCCTTTTTTGAACAGTGAAGTATGATTACGGAACGTCAAGAGAACAATTTCCAATCAATTCTAGGCATTGCAACTATTTAGTATCAACAATTTAATTGTTCCCATTGCTCTAGCGCCCAAACTATGGAAGATATACGAAAATTTTTCGACCACGAATTATTTAGAATTCGATAAGGAATAATTTTTATTTTTTGTCAATTTCACATATCTCCTTTAGATTTCGGGATATAAGAGTTGTGTGACCCAGCACAGCGCTGTCAAGCCCACCACGCAGGGTTGCCAGATTTTGGCGATTTATAGCCAAAACCTGTACAATTTTAAATGGGGTGACGTCACGATCCGGTAACACTGCCACCGCGCGCCGCAAGCAGAGAGCGCTATGTCGGGTCGCGTAACTACAGTAGAGGCTTTGTATAAGATACCTCTCTATAAGATACCTCGCGCTCCGAGCGCTCGAGGCCTACCCCCACTCTCGGCACTTTTATCGCCTGCCGAATGTTTATATTCCATGGGCTTCTTATAAGATACCTATGGCCTCGGTCATTTTTCAACGGGAAGAGAGTAGTTATAGGGATCAAAGGGTGTTAAAGATTAAACGGGAGGAACGAACGAAGTGATCATGAGGGTCTAATGACTTTATAGGGGGGTCACACCACGTTTTTCAAGTAATGGAAATGTAACGATTTTCACTTTTCCCATCGAGAAATCGTAATTTTCATCATGCTGTGACGAAAAGTGAACTTTTCGGCACGCTCCGCGTGCCTAAAAGTGCAATTTCCGCCACATTGTGATGAAAAATATTGTTTGTAACTCGTGAAAAAATGTTTTTTAGGTCGTGGGATTATATCACTCGCCAAAAAACACTTTTTTGTACTCGTTACGAAATATACTATTTTCGTCTGTGATTATTCTCGAGTCCACACGGAGAGAAATGTTCAGTAAAAATTACGGAACTCACAGTTCGCTTACCGATTACGAAATCGACTCAAAAAATTTAAGTGACGGTATCGTAATTTTTCACAGGAGATTCAGATAAAAATTACGGAACGTTCTGGAAAAATTCCGTGAGAGTTCCGTAAAATTTCCTACAGCCACATTTCACTCCAGAATTACGGAAAAGATACGTAATTTTTATTGAATATTTCTCTCCGTGCAGCAACAGTCCCCCAACATCAGCTGCCATTCTGTTACGCGGGATATGTTTAGAGAGAAAAGGGAATGCGGGCGATACAAATTCAAAACATTAAACACATATAAATTGATTAGTTAGCGATAGTCATTCAGTAAAAATGAAAATTCCATTGAATTCGGGCGCGACGAGCGAGGTTTCTTGTTTGAAACCTGGTGATCCCTATTTTTCTCCTCTCTATGGGCACGCGTAGTGGGGGCACAGGGGTTTCCGGAATTTCACTCTCCTACTGTCCCTAAAGTATTTTATACGAAGTATCTACTGTAGTTTATTGCTCATATCTCGGAATCTACGAGAGATACGTAAAATTGAAAACAAACAAAAATTATTGCTTACTAAATTCTATACGATTCATGACTTGAAAATTTTTGTTTATTCAGTTTCACTGCTAGAGCGATTTGAACAATTTAATTGTTAATAATAACGAATTCCAATGTTCAAATTGATTGAAAATTATTTACTTGACGTTCTGTGATCATATTTTATTGTTTAAAACAGGAATTATGCATTAGAACGCGAGTGGTCGGTACATGTCTAAAAATCGAGGCTGTCCGACAGCTCTATATGTGACATAGATGCAGTACTTGAGGGGTTAACGATACGAGAAACGAATGAAGTGAAAAAGACTTACGAAATTTATGACGAAAATTTTTTTTTGAAAATATCTCTATAGATTTATTTGTACAGGAAGATCTGATTCTATTAACTTTTTTAAATAAAATAAACCATGGAACATTTTCTAGCAAAAAACGGCGCAGAAAAATTGCGGAATTTTCCAATAGAATCGATGAAATTTTATTGCCTCGGTAGAATTTCCAATAAAAGTCTAATTGGAATGCCATAGAACATCCTAGCGAATGCGCTAGTTTTTTTGGTCGTGCGTACGATTTTTCCATTAACATATATCACAGGCGTCATTCCCATATTACGTTCTTATATTTTCTGTGAAATTTTTTATCCCCTCCTCTCCTTTAGTCTCAAGACCCCCCCCCCCTTGTTATTTACGTCACGAAATTCATAAACTTGACTTTTAGAAATTGGAATGAGGGAAAGAAGGCAAATGATTGCACGCACAATTGAATCTTAATGCGATGCTCTTTGAACACTTCGTAATTTATTAGGGGAGGGTGGGGTATAATGGACAATTAACTTTCTTCAATGTTCATTACTCGGAAATAAGATCATCAATTGAGTTCAGTGTGGAGTCGTCATCAACACTGATGGAAAAGGTGGGACAACTTACTTGCAGTTAACGAGGCTTCTTAACTATTGATGCCTATCATTATATCTTACTGAAAAGAATTATTATTATTTCAAATAATTGATTTTTCAGTTTTATAATTATTACATTTTATTATTGCATTTTATTATTTTATAATTATAAAATAATAGAATATGATTTTATAATAATGATATATATTATAGTAATATTATAGTAATATTATAGTAATATAGTATATATTATAGTAATGATAATAATAATAATAATAATAATAATAACAGCCGTTCGTTGACTATTAACGAATCTTGTTAGTAGTTAAAAAGCCTTGTTAACAGTAACAAAATCCTTCTATCAGTGAAGGGAAAGAATTGTTTTTTACAAGGGGAAAAAATTGTCCTGTTTGAAGCATGTTTCCTTTTTCATAAAGTTGATTGACAATAAATGATTGTATTGATTGTTAACTTTTTATTCGCCTTGCGATTGGTTGATGGATCAATCAATGATTTCCATGACTACGAGGATGTTATTGTGCGTTACAGCGCTCACTTGGAGGTCATCGCGCGCGATAGCGCGCATGATTGCCTAGTGAAACATGATATTCAAAGATATCCCCGGTATTCTGATTTTTAAAAAATACAAAATTTTTACAAATTTTCCAATAAATCGAAATAACGATTATTGCTATTGTCTTCATCTTCGAAATCTGTCAAAAGAACATACAAACAAATTTTTTAAGCCATCATTCAATCAATTTAGAATATTTTTATTAGTTATCGTGAAACAACCGATTTTCGAAAAAATTCGAAAATTGAAAAAACAATCGCTGAATTCAGTAGCGAAGCGGTAAGCCGGGTCAAGTCGCTTTTGACTATTGGCCAGTTTTTGACGAATATCTCGGAATCTAAAAGAGATAGAAAAATTTTTGTCACGAACTCTTTTGTAGAGCCAATTGGGGGTTATAAAAAGGGTTATCAGAAAAATTCAGCTATCTCTCTTAGATTTCGAGAAATTCATCAAAAACTGGCCAAAAGTACAAATTGACTTAACCCGGTTTACCACTTCACTATTGAATTCAATTTTAGTTAATGGCGATCGATAGGGCTCAAAAATACCTACATTTAAAACAAACGATTCAATTCCATCAATTCATTAGCGAACAACTGAAGAAAAAATTTGTTACATAGGTACGCATATACACACACGTACGGACTAAAAAAGTTCGAATTCTAAAAATTGCATTTTCGGATTTTTTGGATCATACTCGGTCTATGTAACAAAAAAAATCCAAAACTTGAATTTGAATGATTACAACGCTTTCATTCGCAAGGAAAAAATAAGATTTCCAAAAGTTTAAAAAATTTTAATCATTTAGGAGAGAGTGGGGCAGAATGAAACCGAGGGGCAAAATGAAACAGTCGAAAAAAAAATTTTTTATTAACATTTTTTTCCATCAACTTTTGTTTATTAACTTTTTATTATTATTGGGATTACTGATGAAAATAATAATAATAATAATAATAATAATAAATAATCCCAATAATAATAAAAAGTTAATAAAGAAAAGTTGATGAAAACAATGTTAATAAAAAATAATAATTTTCCATTCAGTAGAGTGGAAAATTATTGAGAAGTTTTGATGGGAGAAAATTTTGTGAATGGATTAATTGAAAAGAAAAAGTTATTTCCATATTCCGTAATATACCACAAACTGTTCAATGGGTCTCAAGACCCATTGAAAACCTTTAAATTCCACCGACGTATCCCCTTAGAAAAATTAATAATAATTCCGTGTAAAATGTAATTTGAATGAAGCTGAATATTCATGATTTTTTCAAATTTTTCTCACGCAATTTAATTAACAAATTTAATGATTAAAAATGGTCGAAGCTATTGTGTGGTCTGTACCAAACTGTAAAAAATACTTGGAAACCCTTAAAAACGCCCCCCCCCCCACTTTCACACAATTGTCTAACATATTATTCAAATGCCCCCACAGATTTAAGACCCATTTCGCCCCGCTCTACCAATAGTTACAATTCAAAAATATCCTTCATTTCCCGCGTGACAAAAATTACCCCCCCCCCCCCCCACGCCACTAAAAAAAATTCACTCAACTCAATTGAACAATTGCGAGTTCTCATACTAAGTTCTCAATTCGCAGAAGAGATAAAAAATACGAATAAAATTGGAGCAAATATCCGAGCAGATTGAGGTTAAGTATTTGTTGACATGTGTACCCTTGTCCAGTTCGATGAGCGCTGAATTAGCATCCTGCTCGGGCTCGCCAGATCCAATTTCATTGAAAGTATTCATCCTCCCAGCACCATCAACACCTCATTCTTCCCACAGAACCCCTAATTTGTTAAACTAACAAACGAATAGAATTGAAATAATTCACGGGACCGTTCACATCAGGGGTGAAAGTCTTGACCAAAATCAGTCCACCCAGAGTCGCGTGTTTTGATGCAGAGTGCGCCAGGTGCCGACATAACACAAGTGGATGGCCCACAAGACACAAGTATATAGTCGGCTTGGTGAAGTTTGTAAACACAAATAGAAATTAAAAAATTGAGGATAAAGTCGTGAAAAGTTGTTTGTAGCGTGAAAATGTGGCTGAAGTTTTGTTATCCAAGTTCCTCATGATATTTGCATCACTGACAGATCCACAGACTCGTGAATTCACTGGCGAAGGAGTGAGTTATCTCTATGAGGAGGATATCGCTGAAAAAAACTCAAGATAGTGATGACGATTTTACGTAGACTGTGGATAATCGTAATCCTGTGCTCTCTGGTGACGTCCAAGAGCCCAGAGGCCAAGGACGATGGAATCGTCGAGTGTCAGGTGGGTAGAGCCCTCAGTAAGCAGGTTAAACCCACGCCACTGGGTGGAATGTGTCTCAAGGACATCGTAGCAGCGCTATCGCAGGTTCTCAGATCAATTGGCAACGATGAGCTCGGCCTCACCGAGTTCCAGGAGATGCTGGATAAACTGGACTTTGTCAGCATCACTGATGAACCTGGGGATGCGCTGAGAACACTCACTGACAGTATCAATGCTAAGCTGGAGATTTTTTTGGATATTTTGGAGAAAAGCCTGAATCTTGTGGTTCCAATTCTTGAGAGAGATGCCTTCCATGGGGATCAGGGTGAAGAGAGACCAGGGGGAAAGAGTCGCAGGGAGAAATCCATGGACTTGTGCTCTCAAGTTGAAAATGGTAATTTTTTTTATCACTTTTATTAATTAAGGGGAGGTTCACCCTAGGAACAAAAGTATTTCGTTTTTCGAGGAAAAAAAATTAAATTCTATTTTCCGCGTGATTGTCCCTCAGAAATCTGATTTTCTCTATCAAAATTGTCTCCGGCCATTCAAAATTAGGGAGTCGATTTCCTTTTATCGAAAAGTCAACTTAAGGCCCGGGTGGATTATCTTTCGAACGTTATCTCGATTATTTTTCCATCTTTATAATGTTAAATATATCACAATTTCTATTGGATTTTACATCACGCAGGAGTCCCTAAAAATTGTGATTGTACAAACAAAAAAAGTAGAAAAAAGACTGAACATTTTTAGAGAGCGTTTTTAATAAAGATTAAGAGATAAGTCTGATAGAGAGGAAATAGTGAATGGGTAATTCATCATGGTAACTAACGATCTGACAGCCATTGACTACTGTGACAAATGACGACCTAACGACCATTAGATACATCAAATTATTAATTTGCAATTTCCTCCCTATTGGGTTTAGTTCCCAATATTATTTAAAAACGCTCTTTTAAAATGTTCAGCTTTTTTTCAACGTTTTTTTGATTGTATAATCATAATTTTTGGAGACTCCAGGGCTATGTAAAACTGAATAGCAATTGAAGATCATTTCAGATTATCAAAATGAGAAAAACAACCAAGATCCTTAAGGCGAAACGGAATCCCTTGTATTTATATGAACTTTTAGAATTGTGTTTTCTCCTACAATTATTAATTTTTATCTAGGGGCGAGGGGGGCAAAATGAAACAGCCGAAAAACGACTACTTGACGCAATTCAAGCAAAACAATTTTTGTTTTATTAACGTTTATCTAATTTTTTTCATTATTGGGAGTACTGATGAAAATAATAATTTTCTATTTGTCTTATAATTCAGTGGATTATAATTCAATTAATTAGATTAGGCCGATTACACATTTCTGACTTTGGATTTTGGGTTTCATTTTGTTTTCAATTAATCCATTGGCAAAACTTCTCAATAATTGGCCATTCTACTGAATGGAAAATTCTTATTCTCACTCCCAAGAATAAAAAAAAAAGTGGATAAAAAAAATATTTAATGAAAAAAAAATTGTTTTGCTTGAATTGCGTCAACAGTTGTTTTTTGACTGTTTCATTTTGCCCCAGTCTCCCCTATGAAACTAGTAATCGACTCAATCATTGCATTGTTAAGTTAATGGAGTAGTTTTATAAATAAAAAATAATAATTGCAGGAGGAAATATAAATTTAAAAGTGCATATGAGGTATTCCACGTCAAATGAGTCAATCCCTGACCCTCACCCTCTTGGAAATTAATGGGGATTTTTTCTACGATCGGGGAGGTTGAAAAACTATCTCTCAAATTTTTTCAGATTTTTTTGGCAGCCTAGTTCGGAGATGTGATTTTTTTCATATTTTTCCGTTTTTTCCGATTACTTGAGTTCTATTTGTCCGATTTTGATTTGTTAAGCGTTGAAATTTTCCATTTTTTACCGCCTATACGCCTGTTTTTAGTCATTTTTTTTTCGATTCCTAGATGTTCATAATAACGAATTTTCGAAAAAAAGTTGAAAAACTTGAATTTTGTAAATTACGTCACGGTTGATATTCAAAATTTTTTTTTCAGTAATTCTCATAATCAAAACAAGTATTGTGAGCTGTCATTCAAGTTGGGCATCCTTCTGGATCTATGTTATTTTTAATTTTTTCTTTTGGAAATTTCGCAAATTTGGGTAAAACACCACAAAACGACTTCGACTGGGTATCGAAAAAATACGTAATATATAGGTATACAATCAAATTCACTTCATACTGTCTATATTCAAAGTCAATCCACGCCATTTTGAGGTGTTGCGACCAAATTTACGGAATTTCGAAACGAAAAAATTGAAAATAAAATAGATCCAGGACGATGCCCAACTTGTATGATGGCTCAAAATACTTGTTTTGATTATAAGAATTACTGAAAAAAAAATGAAACCGACCATCCGTGACGTAATTTGCAAAATTCAAGTTTTTCAACTTTTTTATTCGAAAAGTCGTTATTATACGCATCTAGAGATGGAAAAAAAATTTCATTAAAAATATTCTTATAGGCAGTAAAAAATGAAAATTTTAACGCTCAATAAATTAAAATCGGATGGATAGAACTCGAGTTATTGAAAAAAACCGGAAAAATGAAACAAAAATCATATCTCGGAACTGGGCTGCCGAAAAAATCTGAAAAAATTTGAGATTTAGTTTTTCAACCTCCCCAATCGTAGAAAAAATCGCCATCAATTTCCAAAAGGGTGAGGGTCGCGGTTGACTCATGTGTCGTGGAATACCTCATATACACACAGGGGTTCCCTTTCCCCTTAACAAAAATCCTCAACGTGATTTTTTGTATAAATACTTTTGTGAATATGACCATAACAAATTTTCGCTCCTTAATTATCAACAATACTGGAGAAGATACGTTTTGAAATTTATTGTTGTTGTGCACTGAGAAAAAAAAATTATTTTTGCCAAATATTCATTTACTTCATTGCCGTCCCAGGCGAGCCTGATTAGGTTTCAATTATAGCTATCATGTTGCTCTAAAGAATGACTAGGTTCTACATGACCTTGGATGAACTCCTCTACTGATTATGCATTTTTCACTAATTTTTTATTTTCCAGAGGGAACAATTTCGATCAATTTTTCAATGTTGATAATTATTGAAGGAATTCCTCAAGGTTATCACTAACATGGTCATCTTGTAAAGCAATGTAATTTGCATAATTAAAACGTAATGTGGATTGCCTGAGAATGACTCGAGTGGAGAAATACCGTATTGAAAAAATAAATACTTCTCTCAAATAAATGGATATTTGGCAGAAATAATTTTTTTTTCTCAGTGTATATCCAAACTCCACGTAAGTCGCTGAGTGTAGTGAGGGAAAATGAATGCACTCCCCGAAAAAAAATGAGTCATCATTTTTTAATTTTCCAACCGATCATATAAATTTATTTAAAAACCTCCTCCATTAAGTCATCATGTGGTCACCATATTTGTTCAAATCCAGATCCAAATTATTTTGAATGAGAGGACAATTTGCACTGCCACTCTATTTTCCAACAATTTTTGTCATAACTACTGTGCTGATAAACGAAATTAAATCGCCCTGATGAGGAGAGAATCCAACTCTCGAAACGTTGGCGTTAAATGCAGATGGGTTTGTTATTCATATCATCTGCCTAGTAATTATTAGTATTGCTAATGGTGACCGCATAATGGCCTAATGAAGGAGGCTTTTAAATAAAAAAATTACTCATTATTGATAATTTCTTAGATCTATTGATTTAAGACGAGAGTTAAAAATTAATTAATCAAATTCGGGGTACCCAGAAACAGAAATTATTTATCACAAAAGTTTGACTCTGACGATAATTTTTATATTAGGCAGAAAACTTTTATTTATTTTTACTAATCTCGCAAAAATTCATATGCTCATAAGATAAATTCATATGCAAATAAGAGTGTGTTATTTTGCTACTTCTGAATTAATTATTGTCAATAGTAATACTAGACTGCCAATTGAGCACGAACTCAACCAGAATGTTTTTATTCATATCAACTTCCGTTGAAAACTCATGTTAGAGTTTCATCTTCAAAATTTAAGTTATGGTTATACTACTTTAAGCGATTGAAGAAAAATTATTTGTCTCAACTAAATAGGTTTCAGATGTTAATTTTTTTTTTCCCAGTGTATTTTTTTTCCCAGATGAACTGATGTTTCTGATGATGCAAAGAATTTTTTTTCGTTGCAATTTTATGTTCAGAGGTAAACGGTTTGAGTTTGAAATTCAATCAGCACTGGAGTCGTAAAATCTCAATTAATTTTTTGCATTTTGCGCAATATTAAATCGTCTTCATGACGTGGTTAAAGTGTTTATTGGAATTTTTGCTTTGAATTACGTGGCAACGCCATAGAAGGATTGAATTTCAAATTAATTTTAGGAATTTCAAATTAATTTTCATAATTAATTCTAAATTAAGGCCCGAGTGTACTATCTTTCGAATGTTATCCGGATTTTTTTTATCTTTCCTATTCCAAAATTGTCAATTGAGAGGTACATCGTGTAGAAATGATTTTAAAAAATAGAAAAAATTCTGAACTTTTTCAAAGAGTGTTTTTAATTGAGATTCAGAATGAGTCGAAAAAAGTGAAAATTACAAATATCTGATTCGCTGTGGCAAATTATCTATTAGCTGTCATTTTCCATGGTGGATAACAAAGCACTAACTCCTCATGGGAATTGACAGCTAGGTATCTCAATTTTCAAAATAGTGGTATGTAGTCATCTGCCATTTTTATGTGATAAAAGTGTGATTAAAAAATTCTCCAAAATATTACAACTTTGTTCGAAGAGCCTTTTCCGTAATAAATGTCTCTGTGCAGTGTGGGAAAAGATTTATAAAATCAGTCTTCCCCCTGCATGATATTGGGTGACAGGCCGTCATTTGTCACCGTAAATCAGATACATTTTTAATTTCTTGTTATTCAACTTATTCTGAATATAAATTAGAAATGCTCTTCGAAAAAATTAAGAATTTCTTCTAGTTTTTTTTGATTATTCATTCATAATTTTTCAAAACTTCTACATGATGCAGGACTCAATTGACAACTTCAGAGACGAAAGATGGAAAAAACATGGAGATAACGTTCGAAAGATGGTACATCCGGGCCTTAATTTTTTAGTTTTCATCTGGATAATCACTATATTTAGGAAAAAATATCAAGATAGATTTTTCGTCGAAAACTGAAATCTCTATAAAAAATTCTCTTCAGGTTTTCTCCCAAACAATTCACAGTCCTTATCACATCCCTTGAAGCTCATTTGGCGCAAGTATTAAGTGATGATTTATTTCTTTTGCATTCATTTATCGGTGAAAAATTGGGTTGATTCTATTTTTTTTTCTTAACTGAATTGAAAAATGAGCAGAACCCCATCATTTTCTATGCCATCTTTTATAACATGAAAGCTCTTAGAGATTCAATTTATAGTGATGGTTTTTTTTCATTGATCTATTCGTAGAAAATTGAGTACTTGCTATTTTTTTCCCCAAACTTTTGAAGATCATTTAGAGCCCCTTTGCAGTTTTGATTTTTTTAAATTTATGTATTCGTAGAACAGTGAGTTAATGCTAGCTTTCCCGAAACGTAACCGAAAAATCACCAGAAATTCCCTCCATCTCGTCTTCTGAAGCTGTCAAAGAATTAATTTTGAGTGGTGTTTAATTTCTTTTCGCATTGATTTACTTATGGAGAACTGAATTGCTAGTTTTTTTTTCAAACTTTAGAGCTCATTCAGAGGCCGATTCGGGTTTTGATAATTTTTTTTCTCATCTATTCGTGAAAAATTGAGTTTATGCTAGTTTTGTTGCCAAAATTTTGAAACTCATTAAGAGTCCATTTTCAGTTTTGATTAATTTTTTACACTCATGGATTGGTAGAAAATTGAAAAATCAGCAGAAATACCTTCCGTTTTATCTTCTGAAGCTCTTAGAGAACTAATTTTGAGTGATGATTAATTTCTTTTCGCATTTCCCCTTGATCTACTCATGGAAAACTAAATTCGTGCGAATTTTTTCCAGACTTTTGAATCTCATGCAGAGTTAATTTTGGGTTTTGATTTTTTTCATTAATCTATTCGTGGAAAATTGAGTTCGTGCTAATTTTTTCCCAAACTTTTAGAGACAATTTTCAGTTTTGACTTTTTTTTGCATTCATGTAGAGTGAACAGGTTAATTGCTGGGCGGTTAAAGGAAATTCGAGTTTCGTGGTAGGATCTAAAATAAAAGAATCACCTACATGGGTAATGTAATTAAAACACTCCTGAAGGTATTGAAGCCATCATATATGGCTTCACTACTGAATTACTCTTTGTTTTGTTATTTGCACTTCAAATAATTTTTTCTGCTAATTAAAACATTCCTGAAGGTATCGAAGCCATATATGATGGCTTAGTGAAGTGGTCAAACGGGTTAAGTCGGCTTACCTCTTTGTTGAGTTTTTGAAGAATATCTCTGAATCTAAAGGAGATAGCGAAATGTTCATAATAACCTTTTTTCTAGAGCAAATTGAGTGCTACAAAAAAGGTTTTGACAAAAATTTAGCTATTTCTCTTAGATTCCGAGATACTCACTGAAAAATGGCCGATAGTCAAAATCGAGTTAAGCCGTTTTACCACTTCGCTTCTGAATTAAATTTAGAAATAGTTGAATGCAGACGAAACTCCTAATTTCCAGACGACTGGGCCATATTTTTTTCGTTTATTAAATGTCGATCAATAGCAAAAATAATTGATCACATGATTATACACGAGCAATATTATTGCAAGCTGAAATCGTCAGTACAATTTTCATTTTATTTATGGAGTATTCAATGCAAGTTGAACTCGTTCGGAAACTAACGCCCGTCCAGAAATTGACCTGTTTACCCTATTCGCAAAAACTTAAATTAGTGCTAGCTTTTTCAAAACTTAGTCGAAAGTTCGGCAAAATAAATTTGTTTTCAATTCATCTTTGAAGATTATACACTGAGAGAAAAACACGTTGTCAAACAAGTCTATTTTGGGCCAACAAAATAGCTAGTTGAAAATTGTCAAAAAAGAATTTGTTTGGTTCGAATTTGAAAGTCTCAAACATGAGTAATTGTTCTGCTTTCGACAGCAACGAAATATTTGGCTCAAGAGACGGATAATTCACACCAGGCGGTGCCTTTTCAGGATGAAAATATCTGATATAAAGGAAAATTTATCAACAAATATTTTATCCCAAAGTTACAAGATTGCTATCATGTCATCATTATTGTTACATTTAAGGGTTCATTTCTTGTCTGTGATTATTAGACAGCCGAAGCGAAATCTACTATCCCTTGTTTCGCATAAAACAAAGATTTTTCGGGAGAAAAATACGTATGGGACTATCGAATAACGAATGGAGTAGTGCTAGAAATGACAGTTCTTGCGTATACAGAGAATGCAATTTTTTTGAACTACTAAATCTATTTTTGCGACAAAAATTTTTCATTCCGGCGCACTCTCTGCATGTTTGCCCCAAAGAAATCCTTTTTTGATCATTTTCAAAAAACTATTTTCTTGGCACAAGTAAGACTTGTTTGAGAACTTTATCGTTTTTCTCTCACTATAGAAAACCAATTTTAACATATAATGAATAATTTTTTACATTCGTTTATTCGTGGAACACTGAGTTAATCGTAATATTTCCAAAGCTCAATGGAAAAATCCGAATCAAATGTATCTCATAACGTCGAAATTCCCTCCTAAAAGCGTTCCATAAAAATTACTGCAACAAGCCCAGCCTAATTCCATAATCAACCTCCAGCGACGCCTCACAAAAAGCCCATAACCGAATTACCAACCACGTCCATCACCCCCGATAACTCAGCTTAAAGATAAAGAGCCATTCCCCACTCTCACCGAAATTCCCTCTTCTTTCAGAGCTCGCCACAAAGTTAAAAACCCCCCGCTGGAAGCACCTCCGCGTCCTCCCCTTCCTCCACCGTCCAGGAGTTATTTGCGGCCAGGCAGGACCAGTCCGCAACATCGGTTCATTATTTTTATCCCAGTGCGACAGACCGAAGAACGTCATTGTCCTAATGGAGCACGGAGCCTTCATGTCCGAGGAGGACATATCCCTGGCGCGTGCCACTGCCAAGACAATCGTCGACATGCTCTCAGACTCAGACTCCGTAACAATAATCGGCCTGGCAGGTCGAGGTTTCGTCCACTGTAAAAATGGATTAGTCAAGTCAACAGATGTCAACAAATTCCAACTGATCAGGCGAATCGACGCGACGATGCGAACAGACTCCAACGAGTCCCTCACAATCGACTTCGACGGCTTGACCCGCAACGTCTCAGGGAACGTTGTAGTCGTCCACGTGACCAACACCCTGAAAGACATCTCCAACGTGACAAAAATCATAGAGACAATTTCCTCGAAGCAAGTGACGGTTCACCTGCGAACAGTTTTAATCCTCTCAAACCTGAAGCCCCACATCGCAGTGGAGGAAACCTCAGTCAACTCCAGTATTATCACCCTCCCCACCCACAACATCCTGGGGTACGACATCGCGAGGCTGTTCTCCACCCTGGAGTGCCCCACGATGAACAAGAAGGACTACTACCTCTCTGACTCGTACCTGGAGACCTACCCCTACGGAAAAATGATGACCCTGTCCATCACCAGAGTCACCGACACCGCCCTAGTCTCCCTGGACGTCAAACTCCACGAATTCGTCAACGAGATCACCTACTTCAACGCCGGCTCCCCAACGCGAGCGATTCTCTTCGACAAAAAGGGAATTGTTCTGATGCACAAAAGCTTTCCGAGGATCGAGACGCTGTCAGAGCAGCCGCTAAAAGTTTACCTCAGAGACATCGAGAACATAGACGAACAACTAGTGATAGAGATGATAGAGAGGCCAGGAGGACTGATGGGTGTGCTCAACAAATTGGGGATAAATGTCACTGTAAGATGGAAACACCTGAAGTACCTTGATTTAATCGTCTGTGTTGTAACAGAGGAGAGCGACTCCCCACCCTCCAGACCGGTGGCTAAATTTCCCCCTCAATTACCTGATAATCTTCTGCACCATCGATTGGACACTGTCTCCCTCAACTCAGCAGACTTGTGTAATTACAAGGGACACATTCAGAGTCTCTCCCATGCGGTTGTCTACCTCTCCCAGTGGTCCCTAAGACCGTCTTTGGAGGACGAGGGTAATCGAGTGACACCCCAGAGCTACATGGCATACATCAAAGACACCACAGGATTACTGGCGAATCCTGGGTTGAGTGCATCAGTTCGAAGAGACGTTGCAACAATTTCCCAGATTCTGGGGCACTTAAAGAAGAGACACGAGAAGAGTTCCTCGGGGAAGTTCATCGTGAGGAGGTACGTGACAGCAGTGGAGTCTGGTGTGGTCGAAGTATTCCCAGGAACCTCTCTGGAGTCGGGTTTCGACCCGAAGCGAAGGGTCTGGTACACAAAAGCCCTCGAACACCCTGGGAAAATAGTCCTCTCAGGACCCTACCTCGACGCAGCTGGGGCTGGCTACGTTCTCACCCTCAGTCAAACCATCTTCGAGGGTCGAAGGGCTGCCCTTCACGCCCAGAGTGATCCCATCATTGCTATTTCCTCGATGGACATCACCATGGGGTACATGGCTCGACTCATCAAGGACATGTTGGCATTCTGCAACGACTCCACAATTAGGTGTTTCCTGATGGATGACAGGGGGTACTTGGTCTCTCACCCAGCCCTGTTCGAGCCTGGGACCCCAAAACTCCTCCAGCAGCAGCACCTGACTCGCCAGGAGCTCCTGGTCTCCCCCGACATCCTCAACCACGAGATGTTCGTAAAGAAGAAAGTCTGCGTGAATCACCTAGACGGAACAGTCCAGAGGTACTACCAATTCAACACCTCCTTGGACCATGTTCTCACGAATACTATCCATGGGGAGCACTGTGTGAAGTATCAGATGGCAGCAGTTCCAGGGACGAACCTCTTCTTCGGGGTTGTCAATGAGACGTGCGCACTGAAGGTGTTCTGTCCCTGCAGTACGATGGACAGAACCTGCCTGAACTGCAACAGGATGGAGCAAACAGTGTGCGAGTGCCCCTGCGAGTGCTCTTTGTATGCAGATGGGTGTCAAAGGGCCAACACGAGCAGCAGCTTCGAGCCTTGTGCTCCAGCGTTCGAGCAGGGAACCTCCAGGAACGATCCCTCGACCTCCCACTGGGGGAGATCCTCACTGTACGTCCAGCAATTGGGCATTGCCCAGTGTCCAACGCCTGATTGCAAGGGTTACGAGACAGAGAGTGACTGTCTGGGGATCTTCGGGTGCCAATGGTGCTCCATTGATTCGGATGGAGAGTCCTCGCTGGCCTCTCCCTTCTGCTCGGATGCTTATCTCTGTTTTAAGGGAATCCTAGGGTCGTTATTTCCGTATGCAGATGGTACTTATAATTCTCAGTCCATGGGAGATGCTGCTGGGAAGGAGTGGCCCTCAGTGGGGCCAGTGGCAGGGGGAATTCTTGCTGTTGTTTTGATCTTTGGGATCAGTCTGTTCTGCTATCGACTTCACAGTGTGCAGACTGGGCTGGAGCATCAGTGCCTTCATCTTCATGGATCACCAGACACCCTGAGGATGACTCATCTCGATGTGGGCCTGGGGGGCAGTGGGAGTGGCCGAGATCCAGAGCCAATTGAGCTGGACAGGTCGAAAAATCATCTGGATGCACTGCTGCAGGAGAATGGACCTCCTATATCGCCTTACAGGGTGACCACTAATTACAGGAGGCCTGCTGGGGGTGACAGTGATCATGGGTACAGCACCATGACCCCTCATGACGATAATGAACAGCAGTCCTTTGCTGAACCACTTCTACTCGTTGGGAGTAATGAACCGGAGTTGGTGAGGAGATCGATTGTCTCGTCACCCGCGCCAATCACTTGCCTCGAGTCCCCTCATCGGGTACTCGCACCAGTCACCGTACATCGGAATATGGAGACTAATTATTGTTAGGTTTAAGGAAATTCCCATTCATTCCCAATCATTCGTTCGTTCACTAGACCATTGGTAGGAGTTAGTCATTCTTTCTTTAGCGTTTTAATTCGACATGCAATCTGGAATTTTTTCATGTACGGTAGTGAAGTTTATTGTGAACTTTATGGATAGTGTTTTTTATAAGGATGAGGTTTAGGACGGGGAGGTCTTGGAACAAGTGCCAATGAACAATATTTATAATGTAATAAAATTCCGAACACAGACTGAGGGAGAGGCGAAATTTTGTAAAATATTTTTTTAATACGGATACAGACACAATTTTTATAATGATTTTTTTTACTATGAGACATTTTATCGAGAGTTTATAGTGATGCATTTGTGGATGGAAACGTCGTAAACGTTTTATTGTACTTTTTTACTTGATATTAAAAAAATTGACGTGAGGATGGCCAGACGAGTTTTATTGTTACCTGTTACCACTGGCGTTATGGGGTGTAATAGATGCAGAGGGGAAAACACCACATTTTCATCCTTTCCCAGAGGACAATGAGCAACCGCGACAAATTGGTGACCCAGTGTTTTCTTTATTGTCCAAAGTGAATTTATTATGAAAACAGGGAAATCATGAGAGTTATTAGGACAGGAATAAAAAATGACGCACGAAAAAATTTAATAGAAAAAACTAGCGAATTCTTTAGAAAATCCTATTGGATTTCTATTGAACTTTCTATTAGTTTTTGGCCGATTCTATGGAAATGTTCAACAGAACATATTCAATTAGAAAAAGTAAATAGAATTAGATTTTTCCCTATAAATTATTCTCTTCAAATATTTTCTATAGAATTGCCTCAGCCCAAATTTTCTAAGATTTTCTCATTCTATTTTTCTCATCTTCTCATTAAGAAAATCAAATAAAAAAACTTGGAAAATTCACGCGCGTATTTTCCCATGGGTGCCAGAATAGTAAAAGGTTACCGTTTCTCACTTTCATTAATTTTTATTTCAATAATAATGCAGGAAAAATCAATGGTTTCAACAAAGTTTTTCACACTGAGAATTTAATTGTTGAATAATTTATTCGGAATCGTCATAATCCTTTTTATCTTCTCCTTCGTTTTTCTTTTGCTTTTTTGCGTTCCTTTTTATTTTTAAGGAGGTATTATGTACTATATATATAGCATCTATTATATAATATATACATATATATTATCTTATATATGTATTTTTTGATAGTATACAAGTGTATACAATTATTCTTTATTGTTAAAAAAATTTTCTGTAAATCTGGTCGCAACACCTCAAAATAGCGTTGATTGACTTTGATTATACATAGTCGAAGTCGTTTTGTGGTATTTTGACCAAATTTGCGGAAGAAAAAATTAAAAACAACATAAATCCAAGAGGATGCCCAACTTGAATGATAGCTCAAAATACTTGTTTTGATTATGAGAATTACTGAAAAAAATATTTTGAATATCAACCGTGACGTTATTTGCAAAATTTAAGTTTTTCAACTTTTTTTTCTCGATAATTCGTTATTATGAGCATCTAGGAATCGAAAAAAAAAATTACTAAAAACAGTCGTATAGGCGGTAAAAAATGGAAATTTTTGACGCTTAATAAATCAAAATCGGACAAATAGAACTCGAGTTATTGGAAAAAACGGAAAAATGTGAACAAAATCACATCTCCGAACTGGGCTGCCGAAAAAATCTGAAAAAATTTGAGAGATAGTTTTTCAACCTTCCCGATCGTAGAAAAAATCGCCATTAATTTCCAAGAGGGTGAGGGTCAGCGATTCACTCATTTGACGTGGGATACCTCATGTATTTTTTTATTACAGTAAGAAGTGAATTTTTCATTTTTTATAATTACTGTAAAAGATTACAGTACATAAAAAAAATACATAGACATCATATTACATTACTTGATAAGCATAATAGAAGCTTGAAAAATCGTTACACTGGATTTTTTTAAAGTGAATTTTTGTTTGTGCTTCAAAGTAGGACTTATATTGGTTCTCAGAGAAGACAAGAGTTCCATCTTACTAGTATTAAATATTTGTTCTATGGTGGGTATGTAAATTAGTTCGATCGTTGCACGAGTTTTTACACTGCACCAGAAAACCCTAAACATAAATTACATTTGAGAAGTCGTCTTTTACGCTTTGTGAAGCGTATTTTATGCTTAAAGTTGAAGCGTAAATTACGACGTTGTTAAATTACGATGATTTTTTCCGTATTTTACGTTTACTCACCCGTAATTAACGGCGAAGAAAAAACTTAGTTCAAGCGTAAAATACGACGTTTTTTCGTAAATTACACACAAGTAAATCGTAAAATACGTTTCTATTAAGATCGTAATGTGTGATAAATACGCTTAGCGAAACGGAAAAGACGCTTTGTTTGAGCGTAATTTACATATTTATTTTTGCTGTAAAATCCGCCTTTTTGAAGCCGAAATTCCGCTTTTCATGACGAAAACAAAGCCACCAGATGTTATATTGACGTTAAACGTACATTACCTTCAGCAAACCGTAAATTACGATTAGCTGAACGTAATTGCGTTTAGGTTTTTCTGTGCGGAAGTTCAAAACAAATTCAATTGAATTTCCTAATTAAATGCCTAGGTATTTATCAGGAAAAAACGTTATTTTTAAAGAAGCATTTTTGTCCTTAATTTCTAGTGATAGGATTGGAAAAAATTCTCTATGAAATGAAGGGAGGTTGAGGAATTTTTTTCCAACTCGAGTTAGAAATATTTTTCTCATAGACATCTGATTGTGCCCTATGGCCATTCATTTGACACATCTGACTTGGCTTTTTTTCATTTCTTTGTATTTTTCAAATTTCCGAATTTCAACGAAAAAAGTTTAAAGCACTTATAGATATTCTCAATATTTACATTAGAATTTTATTTAATGAAAACCTCTTCATTTCACTCAGTTGATTCGTATAAACAAACTCTTCCCGATTGCTTAACAATCAATTAATATCCCCGACTGACATCAGACATCCCAAACACACGTTACACCACACCGTACCGACAACTAAGTAGTCTAACGTCGAGTGACGCATACAGAGTACCCCCCAAATTACGTGATACCGAAATTTGTGTGGCGCAACGAGATGCGAAAAATATGGGTGAACAGCGATAGTTCACTCATGGGAAAGGCAAATCCAATTTTTATGCGAAACAATGCATACAAAAATTTCATGGCACGTGGGGGTCGAAAAGCCGCTTATAAAAAGCCTCGACGGGAGTTGAAATTGCTCAGTCGAATGTTTTGATGACCTGGACGCACGTGGAAATGAGTGTTGCTCAGGTATTTATGAGTTATTATAGGAATAAAATACATTAATGTTATCATCAAATTAGTTAGGTGATTAATATAAATAATAAATTGATGTAATCGCTAAATTTGAGGTACATTCGATAAATGAAATAATTCATTGATTGAAATAAGTAATTAAGTAATTAAACAATCAATCCATTTAATTAATAGAGTAGTAGATGGCGAGATAGTCAATATTGTTGGGAGATATCTTTTTTAACAACATGTATATATTTTTTTCCATTCGTATATTCCATCCATCGCTTTATTAATGAATAGATAAAGGGGAGGTTCATCCCGAAAAAAAAATTTTTCGTCTTTTGTATTTTCTACGTGATTTTTGCACAGACATTTATTACGGAAAAGGGTCTTCGAAAAAAGTTGTAATGTTTTGGAGAATTTTTTAATCACACTTATCCCATAAAAATGACAGATGGCTACATACCACTGTTTTGAAAATTGAGATACCTAGCCGTTACTTCCCATGAGAAGTTAGTGTTGTTATCCACCATGAAAAATGGCAGCTAATAGATAATTTTCCACAGCGAATCAGATATTTGTAATTTCCACTTTTTTCAACTCATTCTGAATCTCAATTAAAAACGCTCTTTGAAAAAGTTCAGAATTTTTACTATTTTTTTTTAATCATTCTATCATAATTGTTGGGAATTTCTACATGATGTACCACTCAATTGACAATTTTGGATTACGAAAGATAAAAAAAATCCAGATAACATTCGAAAGATAGTACACCCGGGGCTTAAAAAAAATCCCCAACGATTTATCGAAAATAGTTTTTTTTATATAATCCCCAATTTTGGTTCCTTAATTATGAACGATACATGTTTACACAGATGGAAAAATTTGATAGACAAACCTAACGAATTCTTGCGACAATCCTATTGGAATTCAATTGAACCTTCTATTAGGTGTTGGCTGATTCTATTGAAATGCTCATCTATTTCATTTTGCCCCGGTCTCTCCTATTTTCATTTTTTTCATGAAAGACAAAGTTTTTTTCCGGGGGTGAATCTCCATTCATCATTATTATTACGTAATTATCTCTGGAAATAATGGGTTTGAGAAGTTCATGAAATTCTCATAAAAAAGTTCTCCTCATTTCATCTCTTAAAACCGCTCATCGTTTGTAGATTACGTAAACATAAAAGAAAAAAATTGGATTGTAAATTGAATTCAACTTCCCTATTTTCATAAAATCCCAACAAAATTGTTGTTTCAATCAACGATAACGAGTTTAATTCCCAGGTTTCGATAATCCTCCTGATTGTCATCAGTGCAGTGGTATGTCAGTACGAACGTCCGTACAAACCAAGTGGATGGCGTCCGTCCGGACAGAGCTTCAATGCTCATGACAGTGCTCATCACTCCAATCATTATAATTATCCACCGCGCATCGATAACTCCTACGGGCCACCCTCAGGCTCATCGGATCGTGAGGACCTCACAACTACCACAACAACCACAATGACACCGAGAAGTCGAGAACCCACTACACAATCGAACGAATCCGAAGAGGATTCACAATCTAATCCTGCACTGGCAATAGCAAATTCCTTTGCATTCAACAGGCCTGTCTACGTGTACACTGGATTCCCACTGCAACCCGCATTCACGTATTTCAAATGAAAATTCTTTGTTATTCAATCGGTTTGAGAATTTTTAATAAATTTTTTACATTCATTTTTTGAAATCATGTCGTTTGACCTTTTGCAATTCATTCTTTTGGTGTCAATTGTATTACTCCGGCGCCTTTGTGATGTTCTTTCCCTCTTTCTTGGTAGTTGGAATTATATTACAGGAGGATCTGTCCTTCATTTATCACTGGGGGAAGTGCCGGGTCGAGTTGTTGTAATTTGCCAGCGCTCACCTAGCAGAGTGAAGCATCCAGATTTGTATAAGTGGAAAATTCAGAAATTACCTTTGAGGACGTCTGAGTACTCTGGACATTTTTTCTTTGTTCAAATATTTTCCAACATTCATAAACTGAAAGGAAAGAAACGTGTTGTGAATACTGAGAGGAAAAATCGACATAATTAGGGGAGAGTGGGCAAAATAAAACAGTCAAAAAAACGACGGTTTGACGCAATTCAAACAAAAAAAATTTTTTATTAAATTTTTTTTTGTCAACTTTTCTGTTATTCTTGTGACTACTGACGAGAATAATAATCTTCGATGCAAAATGGAAAATTATTGAGAAGTTTTGATGGGCGAAGATTTCGTCAATGGATTATTCGATTGAAATTCAGCATCATATTTTCCCTTTTCCCCTTCTGGGTTTCCCCCTGGGCCTGGCCCTGGACTTTGGATTTTGCTGTTTCATTTTTTTTCAGTTAATCCATTGACAAAATCATCGCCCGTCAAAACTTCTCAATAACTATTCATTCTACTGAATGGAAAATTATTATTCTCATCAGTACTTCCAAGAATGAAAAAAAAGTTTATAAAAAAAATATTCAATAAAAAAAATTTTTTTTCCTTGAATTACGTCAAACAGTCGTTTTTTTGAGTGTTTCATCTTGCCCTACTCTCCCCCACACAATAGCGATTTTCGTCACAAGGCCAAAGTAATAATATAAATAACAAATAACAATTATTGCAGCTAACGTCCAGCCACGGAAAATATTCAATATATTTGTTTCAATTAATCAACAACCCTGTTTCGAACTGCAAAATCTGAATCTCCAGGAGTACTCATCATTGAAACGTAAGTTCCTCGGGTTGTATTTTTTAAATATAGATTTTCAATAAAAACGAGATTGAAAAAATATATTGAAAAAAATTGTTTTCATCACGCTGTGATGAAAAGTGAACTTTTCGGCACGGTCCGCGTGCCTAAAAGTCCAATTTCCACCACATTGTGATGAAAAATATTATTCGTAAAAACATACTATTTTGTGATACCTGCCTAAACAGTGCACTTTTCGAAACGGTTTAGTGTGCGTAAAGCGGTTGTTTTCCGCACGGCGCGCGTAAAGTTAACGAGCGTGCGTAAAGCTTCGCTCTTGAACTTTACGCACTAGTAATACAATATACTATTTTTTTTCTGTGTAATGCTGCAAACATCGATTTTTTAAATAATCGACATTTTTTCCAGAAAAATGAATTCACAACATCGATTTTAAAGACATGACCCATTCCTATCTCCGTGCCGTCTTCTTTTCTCACGTAAAAGAATAAGGATTTTACCAGTTGATGTTCACACGCATCTCCATACTAATGAATTCAGTGAAGGAGTCAGAGGATTTTGGAGAAATAACAGCAACGTTGATTAAATTGTCGAAAGAAGTGAATAATACAAATTTAATGTTAAAAATTATCGCTTGCATCGTGCACCTTTATGTGCAACTATAGCAATTAGCACTGTGAAAATTCAACCCGCCAAAACACAAAGGGTTATTTCGGAATGCTGTGATGGCAACACTTTAATAAGTTGAGGAATGTTCAAAGAACATCGCATAAAGATTTAATTGTTCATCTTATGATTTGCTTTCCTTTTTGCTTTTTATTCATATTTTTTTCAACAAAAAAAAGGGTGTCGTGGATTTTGTGACGTAATATACAAGAGGGGCCCATGGGGATCCACGTTCCTCACGGCTTGTGACTAAAGGGGAAGGATAAAAAAACGTGTGACGTAATATTTAAATGGCTTCATTACAGGTAATTGCATATCCTTAACTGCAGATCTTATCTATCTAGAGATGCCAATGGTTTTATAGAATGAAAAAAATATGATGATACGAAAGAATTGAGAAAGGGGCAGAATGTCGATGCTAATTATGTTACGAAAGGGTTTCCCGCGAATTCACCAGCGAAGCGAAATGTTCCTCAAGCTATTTGACGTGAGCCTTCACCTAGAATAATGCACTCGGGCTCGTGGAACTAGTAAATTCTGAAAATCATTTTTTTTTTTGCAGAGCGAGTTGGAAAAGAATGGAAAAATATTACCACTTTGAAAAGAGCATCACTATAAAATTTACACTTGAACCTGAATGCTGCTCGTTTTATATTGTGAGAGGGCTCTATATAGTAGCGATAACAGCCCCGAAGCACCGGTAACAAAAGCTCACCTGCCAAACGCGTCCTGAAATACATACACTGATAGAAGAATTTAGTTGCTGTTAACGAAGCTTCTTAACTATTCACACGATTCGTTAATGGTTAATGAATGGTATTAATGGTTACGACGCCTTGTTAACGCAGGAAAATTGTTTACACAATAAAGGCGATTCACAGACCGTAAAATGTTCATGTGATTTTAAGGCCCGGGTGTATTATCTTTCGAATGTTATCTGGACTTTTTTTTATCTTTCTTAATCCAAACTTGTCAATTGAGTAGTACATCTTGTAGAAATTCCCAAAAAGTATGATAGAATGATAAAAAAAATAGAAAAAAATCTGAACTCTTTCAAAGAGCGTTTTGAATTGAGATTCAGAATGAGTTGAAAAAAGTGGAAATTACAAATATCTGATTCGCTGTGGCAAATTAGGGAAGGGTAGGATAAAATGGACACTTTAGACTTTTATCAAATTATCCATAACTCAGAAACAAATGTATCAATAGAGCTCAGTTTTGGCTCATCAGAAAGGGAAAGAATTGTTCTTTGTATTGAAAAAAAAAAGATTAAATTTCATCAACATTTCAACCCGTCACTAATATTTTTAAAAAAGTCAAAAGTGTCCATTTTACCCCAACCTCCCCTATCTATTAGTTGTAATTTTCCATGGTGGATAACATAACACTAACTCCTCATGGGAAGTGACAGCTAGATATCTCAATTTTCAAAACAGTGGTATGTAGTCATCTGCCATTTTTATGTCATAAAAGTGCGATTAAAAAATTCTCCAAAATATTACAACTTTTTTCAGAGAGCCTTTGCCGTAATAAATGTCTCTGTGCAGTGTGGGAAAAGATTTACGAAATCAGTCTTCCCCCTGCATGATATTGGGTGACAGGCCGCCATTTGTCACCGTAAATCAGATACATTTTTCAATTTCTTGTTATTCAACTTATTCTGAATATAAATTAAAAATGCTCTTTGAAAAAATTAAGAATGTTTTCTACTGTTTTTTGATTATTCATTCATAATTTCTCAAAACTTCTGCATGATGCAGGACTTAATTGACAATTTCAGATGACGAAAGATGAAAAAGACATCGAGATAACGTTCGAAAGATAGTACACCCGGGCCTTAACAGAGAATTTATTTGAAATGAACGGATTAATTTATCAGAAAATTGATACATTTGTTGACATCCTTAATATTTTGAGAAAATAAACAGTTCTCACCAGCTAAAATTTCATCATCATCAAAGTGTTTACCATCCGGTTAATACCCCATTACCATATTCCTCGAGTTGTTTGGCTGGCTATCACACGCCTCAATATCTACACATCCGCACTTCAAAGAGATCTGCGCGAATAAAATATCTATAATCCCATGTTTCCATTGCTCACAAAGTAAATAACATTATTTGTTCTCCTCGTAGCGAATCTCATTGAAACAAAAAAAGAGTATCATATCTCAAGCGAACATAAAAAACGACTCCCGCAGAAAAAGTAAAAATTGATAAATAGCATACCGTGGATTGGATATGTGGATTGCATGATATTCCGTATCGTGTCACAATATTGTTATGATCTATTTCGTGAGGCAAATTCTTTAATTTTTTAGATGATAGGGTAATATATGAGATTGAAATTTCTGATAGTTAATGAAAATTTAACGAAATGCAATCAACAAATTTTTCATTATACTGTTACAAATTTTTAACTGAAATTCCCGGTAAGAGAATTGGAAATTTCGGTGGAGAAATCCGTGAGAATTGTAAATTTCAGTTTAATTATTTCGGGAAAATTATTGAAAAATCAGGAAAATCCAGAGAAATCGCTCCCTGAATTCCAGATTCCTCTGAATTTTCCGGGGATTCCTTCAAAAATTTCTCGAATTCCAAGAATTTTAAAGGCTTTCTCTGAAAATTCAAGGGAATTTTTATCAGGATAAAATTTCCCTAACAGAATAAAATTTGATCATCATATATTTATTTTTAATAAATTTCGGGATAGAAATGAGGAAACGATGACTCATGGTACACTTTTATAGAACGGTAGGATAATTTTTATCAAAAATTTCTCTCCGTGGATGAACGGGTATACAAATTTGCTGTCCAAATTTCAAGTTGATATCTCGATCTTTCCACAAGCTAGAGTGATTACAAAGTTTTTTTTTATGAAAAAACGGAAAAACGGTAATATCTCGAAAACTTTGTATGAACGGGTGTATGTGTTTTGGTTAAGGGGATACGTCGGTAAAATTAAATCTTCACTGGGTCTTGGGACGGAATATGAGAATAACTAGGGAAAATCGCGACCCGATCGATTTTGCCCCGTATAAGCACAAAACAAAAAACTCAATTTTTTCCTGTTTTTACCTTCAAAATTCTCCTTGTGCAACAGTTTTCATACGATTTTTGCTTTTTTTAAAAATATTCGTTACACTCCAAAGAATAAAGTTAAGAATCCGTTTTACTTTGTTCGCAATAGATCATGAATAAATGAATTTTGAATTTCATAAATTTCTCGCATCTCTAGAATAGAGTCAAATTTATGAAATTCAAAATTCATTAATTCATAATCTATTGCGAATGAAGTAAAACGGATGCTTAACTTTATTCTTTGGAGTGTAACGAACATAAAAAAAAAGCTAAAATCGTATGAAAACTACGGCGCAAGGAGCATTTTGAAGGCAAAAATAGGAAAAAAATGAAGTTTTTCGTGGTTATACGGGCAAAATTGATCGGGTCCGCGCTTTTCCCTAGTTATTCCCATATTCCGTCATATTTCACAAACTGTGCAATGGGTCCCAACGCCCGGTGAAGACTTCAAACTTCATCGACGATTTCCCTTAAAAATTCTCTCAGGACAAGAGAATCTTAACCCATTGAAAGACTTTTTTTTGTAGGTCTGAATACGAAACTATTTATAACATTAATAATGCTAACATTAACATTATTATTATTCACATTATTGATAAATGATTTATTTTTTTTTAGCAGATTTCTCGATTTTCTAAATTGACAAGAGACTATTTTCCCGTATTAAGTAAATCAACTTTGTCAAAAGCAGTGTTTCCTCTCAGTCTTTTCCCCCAGAAACTAAAAAATATGAAATTTCATTATTCCAAGGCACAGAAAAAAACCCAGTAATAATCTCGCCCCAGCAATCTAATTGAAACACGAGAAAGAACGGCATTTCTAACAAACCGGAGGACTCAGTTGGCACAAACTTGATTACTAAACAAAGAATAAAAAAATTGAAAAGATGAGGAGAATCCTTGTCGACATAGCGCGTACTGAGAAGTGGCGCTTTGACCCCGTACAAGTGGCCAACACACGGACCGTGTGCACTAATCATTATTTCTCCCAAGTACCGCACGTGAGGGGACTCAACTACCAGTACTTACTCCGCGTCGGTGCCACGCAAAGAAAGTATATCGGAGTAAAGAGTACATACGAATCTGCCCACCCACTCCACCCCCTAGATTTATTATTTCATACTATACCGGGAGCCCATGAGTTTCCAGAGAATTCAATCCTCATGCGCAGAGTTGTAATCGTAGTGAAGAAATTTGTGACGTTTTTTCGTAACCGAGTTGTCGCATTTTCCTTCTGCCTCATGGGAGTTTCCAAAGTTTTTGCTGGAGCCATCGACGTTATTCCCCGGAATATCTGCTGAACTTGAAGTTTGTCGGGAGCAGAATTTTCCACCTCGCGTGTGACGTACTCGCATCAAGTAACCCAGAATAAATCCACCGATGAAAACCTATTGTTATGACTTTACCTTATTGTCATATTATTTGAGTTTGGGGGCATTACCTTTGCCGGATGGGGCACGCAGACCGTGAGCAGCTCGACGTTGCAGACTCCTTTCATTTCGCTTTTTTGAGGGATGCCCAATCATTTCCGGATACGTTTCTGGGATGGAGGGTAATAGGGCGTTGAGCGAAATGGGCGATTCAGTTATAATGTTGTGAGTTAAGGGTGTCAATCTTGTCCTCTTTTTAAAAAAAGAATGTAACGATTTTTGTCAGCAATCTATTCCGCCATGCCTATACTTAGGAATATTTCAGTCTTAAACTTGAATACCTTTTGATTGAATTTCTTTCAAATTATCTGTATTAATTATCTATTATATATATTATAACAAAGAAAAAAATGATATATGATATAAAAAAAATTATATTTACATTTTTATTTTTTCATTCATTTCATTTTTTTTAATATAATTTTTAGATATATTATTGATATCTTTATATTTTCATGAATATATGTATATATATATATATATATATATATATATATATGTATTTAATATTATAATGATATTATAATAAAAAAATAAATATAGAAAAATATTTTATACGTATACTTTCATTTTTTATCAAATTTTTTAAAAATAATTATATTATTATATTATATATGAAATATAAGCATATATAATATATGTAATATCATAAAAATTTTCAAGTCCTTCTCCACGTCCCATTAAAATTCCAATTATGTCCAAAAGTGAATCGTTTTAAAAATTGTTGACAAAAAACATGCCATTCTTTTTTTAATAGTGAAAACGATCCTTAAAGAAAAGTATGGACCATAAATAAATATTAACCATCTATGATAATAACTTAGCTTGACTGAAGGGCCATGAATTAAAAGCGCGCGAAGCGCGCGCCCTTTTCCTAGTTTGAGAAAAAATGGAAAAAAAGTTTCCCTTCGTTAATAGAGGAAAATGTATTAATCCCGAGAGGCTGGTGACTTCTGAATCGGGTGGCTCAGTGATTTCCTGATGGGATGATTTCCTGTCATTTCTTGAATGATTTTTGCGGTTTCTCAATAAGAATTGAAAATCATGATTTCTTTTGATTTTTCGTGATTTCCATGATTTCTAGTAGATCCTGATGATTTCTTGATTTCAAGAAATCACTCGAAAAATCATGATTTCGGGAGCAAAGTGGGGCATCTATCGATAATCGAATATGGGTAAGATTCGGGGAACCAAAGAGTTTAGAACGACCTTATGGATGTGATAGTAAGAATCAAATGACATGTGCATAAGAAAGTCATCAGGGTCGGACGGGATCGTACGAGTGAGTTAGAATAAAAAAATTAGGTTTCACTTTCATCGATGATTTCTAATTATCATTAATTCAGTAGTGAAGTGGTCAAACGGTTTAAGTCGATTTTGGCTATTGGCCAGTTTTCAATGAATATCTCGAAATCTAAGGGAGATAGCAAAATTTTTCTCATAACCTTTTTAGTCACACAGGAAAACATTCAATAGAAAACCTAGCGAATTCACTAGAAAGTTCTATTGGAATTCTATACGAATTCTGTGGGGTTTCTATAGGATTTCTATTGGAATTGTATTAAAAAATTCCATTTGTTCTTGCGCTGATTCTATTGGCTATTCAATAAGAAAAATTCAATAGATTTCGAATTTCTGTTTGAGTTTTTCTCTTAAATTTTTTCTATTTGAATTATTGGGCGCAAAATTTTTCCGCTGGATTTAGTTTTATTTTAGATTGTAGAATCCGAGTTGGAAAAAACTAGAAACTTGATGCCCAAGCATTCTTATAGAAAAAATCTCAAGAGAAAAATTTGAACAGAAATTTGAAATCTATTGACTTTTTTTTATCGAACATCCAATAGAGTCAGCACAAAAAACAAATAGAACTTTTCAATAGAATTCCAATAGAAATCCTATAGAAACCCCCCATAGAATTCCAATAAAATTTTCTAGCTAATTCGCTAGATTTTCCATTGATTTTTTCATGAGTGGTAGCACTCCACTCGCTCTACAAAAAAGGTTATTACGAAAATTTTGCTATCTCCCTTAAATTCGGAAATATTTCTGGGAAACTCAACTAAAGACTAAATTGACTTAAACCGTTTGACCACTTCGCTTCTGAATTATTATTATTATTTATAATTATTTCTGAAATTGTCTGATTTTATGATTTCTGATGATTTCCGGTAGTCATTAGAAGTCACTACCGGAAATGGACATCACTTGATTTTCAGTGATTTCTGGTGATTTCTTCCTTGATTTCCAATCGAGTGGTCCAGTGATTTCCAAAGTGACCAGCCCCACGATTAATCCATTCGAGAAAATTTCAAACCTGCAATCGGAATTTGATATTCAGAAAGTAAATACGGAAAATTCTATTTGAGGGTATGGGATTAAAGCGGTGCACTGATAGAAGGATTTAGTTGTTGTTAACGAGGCTTTTTATCTATTAACACCATTAGTTAACAGTTAACGAATGAGTGGGGGATTAAATGGGTACACTGATGGAAGGATTTAGTTACTGTTAACGAGCCTTTTAAGGTATTTATGGCGGGGTGGGCATGCAGGAGGTGAGATAGGGGAAAATATATTGTTCTCCCGCAGAAAATCAATCGCTGAATGAAAAAAAAAGAAATTTCTATTACAAATTTTCAATCTATTGCGACCATTTTGCGTTCGAACTATTTTTTAACAACTCTTCTATTTTTTTCCCACATATTTCAAGCCTTCTTTTATTTTCATAGCTTGTCTTTTGGATAATTGAACAATAATTGATATGGATAGAGTAAGTAACAATGTCGTGCCGTTCGGTTCGAGGCACAAGTTGGCAGCGCTGATTCACTCCATCTTTTTTAACCCTAGTCTGGTCACTAAACGCGACCCTGCGACTCTGATCACTTCCGTAGGGATTCCCCGCCGTATTATTTAGGCTCTAGCGTTGCCGAATACACTCTGCACTGCCCGGGGGCGTTTAGCGAGTTTTCGGCACCGCCGCGTGATGGGCAATTTCATTTAGGTAACGTGGGAAAAAATAATTCATCTGTTCTAAATAATTTGTTGTTCTAGGAATTTGAGGAAATACAGTAGCGGTTTCGTATGAGATACCTCTCTATAAAATACCTCTATAAGATAAGATACTCTTTAGACACTTCAATTGACAATGTCAACTTGTGAATTTTTCCGGTTAGCCAATCAATTTTAATTAAAGAAAAACGACGCGCGGCGGGTTTCCCTCATGTATGGTGACCAATCTAGGGTTAATAGACAACTTTTTCCATCATAATTTTTCCAAGCTCCTCTCCTCTCTCCTAATGATTCAAGAAACTCCATTTCGCCATACTGTCCTCTAACGAGTCAAATTGATAATTTTTGATCTCAGTAAAACCTCTCTTTTTTCATATAATCTCTCCTAATTACAAGGGGTTTATGACCAGAGTGCGTGTCGCAGTGGGGAGCAAAAATATAGGAAACTATGAGTGATTCCCAGCGGAAACGAGAGGACTATAAGGATCAGGGGGATACAAAGGCGACGTTTCACTGTACTCCACGGAGAAAAAGTCAACGAAAAATTACTGTATAATTTAGTTAATCGGAGAGTACAAAATTTTATTCCAGGGATTTTCCTTTGGAATTGAGAAAAAATGCGACGTAAAGGGTACATTTACTTCTTCAAATTTATGAGTTGCTGATGAAAAATTAATGAAAATATTGTTACGTATTTTCCCTTTTCCTCTCTCTCAAACTACCATCATGTACGATCGTCTCTTCCTTTCCCGTTAGTCTTTTATCTTGTTTTCTAGTCCCAAAATCTTTAATAAACAGTTATTCATTTTCAAATGTGCCCATTCTTTACAATATGTATAAATTTAGCTATCTCCGGCGAATTTTTACTCACTTTCTTCACAATTTTCCGTTGAATTCAATTTAAAAAATGAATTCTATTCGTTTCAATTCAAGAAAATGTCAGAAGACTTCTTTTGTGTGCAAAAAAAAGTCAGCAAGCAAAAAGTTCCGACCATTTCTCCCTGAATCACTCAACAATAACTATCATATTTTTTATCATGCGAAATATTTACTTTTATGTTTTACCTCTTCACTGCTGACTCCACTAGAATTTTCCATTGTCCAAAGAATTTATCATTCAATTTTGAATTTTTAAAATGTTGTTGAAGTTGTTAATTTACGAGATAGGAGATTTGAAGTTGACAGGGAGTAAATAAAATGTGATCGTTAATCGTGCAGTTTTACTGTGGATAGGACAAATATACAAAGGGCCATGAATGTTTCAGAAATTAGAGAATTAAGAGAAACAGGGGAATAAGAAGAGGGAGGTGTTGCAGTATTACTCTAATTGATTCATCGAAAAACGTATGTTCACGTATCAAAAAATTTAATATAAAAACTGAGGGAATTCGCTAGACAATTCTATTGGATTTCTACTGATCTTTCAATTAATTTTGGGCAATTCTATTGAAATGTTCAATAGAAAATAGAATTTTATTTTTCTATACAACTTATTCTATTGAGATATTTTCTATAGAATTTTAATGTGTCTAATTTTCTTAGTTTTTTTGTTTCATTTTCTTGAAAAAAAAAATCGGATGAACACTTATAAAATTTGAGTCGAGGAAATTCGATAGACAATATCTCAATAGAATAAGGTGTGCAGAAAAATCTAATTCTATTGACATTTTCTATAGAATATTTTCTATTGAACATTTAAAAAAACTCTGCCAAAACTAATAGGAAGTCCAAAACTAATTGGATCAGAAAATCCAATAGACAGAAATAGAAATTTCATGGCGCAAAAACATCGCGGCGTGAGTTGGCGTGCGACATTCAATGGTATAGGCATAGATGTAGAATTTCGATCAATTTCTACTAGGGAAATTGTCTGGCGAATTCGCTAGGTTGTTCTAGTGAAGTTGTTCGTGTATGTTCTTATCACGCAGAGAGAAATTCAATAAAAATTACTGTACAATGTAAGTAATCGGAGAGTAAAATTATATTCAAGGGATTTTCATTTGGAATCAAGAAGGCGTTGCATAAATTTTCTGTTTTGTAACACAATTCCTCCGAGAAGAACAGTGAAATTTCTAAATTTTTCATGTAAAAGTACAAAAAAAAATGGATAAACTTTACGGTTTCCCCTGAGAATCTTTAGTTCAGTACTTTTCACATCATTTTCCCGTAATTTTTTGTTCGTTTTTTTCTTCTGTAGAAGAAAATGTTGGAAAACTTTTTTTTGTGTTTGAAAAGAAGCCCACCACGAAGAGTTTTTCGACTCTTTCCCCCGGAATCACTCAACAAGAAATAACATCATATTTTTTAACATGCGAAAAATCAACTTATACGTTTTACCTCTTTACTGCTGATTCCACTAGAATTTTCCATTGTTCAAATAATTTATCTTTCAATTTTGAAGATTCAAAATCATGTTGAAGTTTTCAATTGACGATGTAGGAGATCTGAAGTTAACAGGGGGTGAATAAAATATGATCGTCACTTGTACGGTCTTGCGATGGAGATGAGTGTTTCAGAAACTAGAGAACACCCGGGAACAGGGGGATCATAGGCGAAGGTGTCGCTGTTACTCTTATTAATTCATCGCAACAAAGTATGCTTCTATCATAGAGAGAAAAATTCAATAAAAAATACTGTGCAATCCAAGTAATCGGAGAGCGAAATTGTATTTCAGAGATTTTTATTTTAAATGAAGAAGACAATGCAGAAATTTTGCTTTTTGCCAATTTATGAATTTTTCATGTAAAAGTACAGAAAAAAAAGGATAAGCTTTACGGTATTTCCAGCGAATCTTTACGTTCAGTAATTTTCATATCACTTTTCCTATAATCTTTTGTTCATTTTTTCCTTCTGTTCTTCCCCTCGGGTGAATTTATTCCACAGTTAGAAAAATTTAGGAATTCGTCGTAGAGTGCTATCATTCAGTCATTCGGTCGTGAACATCCAGAAAATACTTCATAATTAGTGGTATTATTGGCAAATAGTGATGATACATCGATACACCGGTCGTGAACATCCAGAAAATACTTCATAATTAGTGGTATTATTGGCAAATAGTGATGATACATCGATACACCACGTTTTTTTTTGGTGAAATACGGTCGACTCTCCGCAGCGCTACACTTTCGGGGCTATAGATTCCAAGAACGGAAAGCCAGAGGTTGCCATTTCTCCATATGCGTAACTGGCGGGTCTTATGATAGAGACACCGCAACTATTCAAGTGAGAACGCTATAGATATACTGAATTCTGCCAGAGAAATAACCTCGATTGGAGTAGTGGGACATGCAAATACTGTCGTACTTTTTTTTATTACACCTAAGCAAACAAAATACTATATTTCAGTACATGTGGGGCAATATCGTCTTTAACGTGTGTGGGGTTTACAGCATGAGCCGAAGGCGAGTGATGTAACCACACACGTTAAGGACGAAATTTCCCAACAAGTACTGAACAAAATTTTATGTCACGAAGCCTGAAACCGGCTGAATTAGACACGAAACGCGAAGCGTCGAGTGTGTAATCCAGCCGGTTTCAGGCATGAGTGGCATAAAAGACTTTTCATCACTTGTGCAGAAAGGGAAATTTTACGCACGCTCCGCGTGCGCATAACCGCTTTTCACACAGTGCGATGAAAATATATCGTTCGATACTCATGGGAATAGTATATTTCGATACGATTGCGGGAAAGTGTATTTGGGCTCGTGGGAAGTTTATAGCACGAGCCGAAGGCGAGTGATATAATCCCACGAGTCTAAAAACACTTTTCCCGCGAGTATTGAACCCAATTTTTTTATCACAATGTGAGGGAAGCGGGATTTTGCGCAAGCAGAGCGTGCGTAAAATGTCACTTTATACACAGCGTGATGAAAATTTTTTTTTGTGGTTGGTGGGACTATATGATTTGCCTCCAGCTCGTGCTATAAACCTCACAAGCCAAATAATATATTGTGCATCAAGGGCGGAAAGTCAAGACTTTCCGCCCAAGGTGCAAATGCGATTTTTTCTCACGTCTGCAAAGGAAAGTCCGTATTTTGCTCTTTGATGGGCGGGAGGAAAGTATGAACTTTCCGTGCAGCGGTGTGAAAAAACACTTTTCCACACTTGTATCGAAATATACTAGTTTGCACCACAAATTAACAGATACCGATTGCAAAATAGTATATTGTGCATCGAGGGCGGAAAGTCATGTTTTCCCGCCCGAGGTGCACATGCTATTTTTTAACACGCCTGCAAAGGGAAGTTCGTTTTACTCTTTGATGAGCGGGAGGAAAGTACGAACTTTCCGTGCAGGTGTGTGAAAAAATAACAAATCAATCTCAAAGAGAAATACAATGTTACCAAAACTACCATAATTAATTTCAAAATATTTAATGAACTCGAGAACCTCTCCCGGCCAAAGTTTACATATTATATAAAATATTCTTCATAGAACTTTTTTTTCACTAGTTTTTAATGTTTGAAAATATTGTAAATACTGACTGTTTTATTTTTGAATAAAAACTAAGTTAAACAACAACAAAATTGGAGTGGTGGAGAGCATGAGCAGTGAGGATTTGGATACAGTGGGGGTACATGGCTGGGGTTCCTCCTTTGGCAAGGAGCACTTTATCTCCATGTCCCAAAACACACTTCTCCTCCGGGGCTGTCTCCCGTGCGTGACGTCGCACACGTAGTGGGAGGCAACGCTCCCCTCGCTCGGTGACGCCTGGAGAACTAGAGACGTGGAGAGCTACACTGATAGAAAAGGTGGAACGATTCAGTTGCACCAAACGAGGCTTTTTAACTGTCTGAATACTTAACAAATCGTGGTAATAGTTAAAAAGTCTCGTTTGGTTCGACTAAACCGTTTTATCAGTGTACAGAGAGTCAACTGTACCTTCGATGAATTTTCCATCGAAATTGATCGGCAAATTATTTTTATTTATTCCGATACTTGAGGGAAACCTCGCCGCGCGTCGTTTTTCTTTCATTACAATTGACTGGCTAACCGGAACGATTCAAAAAAATTTGGCTTTGTCAATTGAAGTTTCTAAAAAATTTTAGTAGTTTTTAGAACAACATACTTTCCAAAATTCCTGAAGAAAACAAATTATTTCGGACGGATGAATTATTTTTCTCATGTTGAAGAAATTGCCCATGACGCGGCGTTGCCGGAAACTCGCTAAATGCGTCCGGGCAGTGTAGAGTGAATTCGGCAACGCTAAAGCCTAAATAACACAGCGGGGAATCCCCGCGGAGGTGACCAATCGCAGGGTCGCATTTGATGACCATGTTAGGGTTAACTGAGGATTTTCTTAACTAGGCTTGGTGCAACCGAGCGCACGAAAAGTTTTTCGACCATTTCGTCCGGAATCACTCAACAAGAAATAACAATATTTTTTAAGATGAGAAAATTAACACGGAGAGAAATATTCAATAAAAATTGCGTATCTTTTCCGTAATTCCGGAGCGAAATGTGGTTGTAGGAAATTTTACGGAACTGTCACAGAATTTTTCCAGAGCGTTCCGAAATTTTTATCTGAATCCCCTGTGAAAAATTACGATACCGTCACTTAAATTTTCTGAGTCGACACCGTAATCGGTGAGCGAATTTTAAGTTCCGTAATTTTTACTGAATATTCTCGCCGTGAATTTTTACGTTTTACCGCTTCACTGCTGCTTCCACTAGAATTTTCCATTGTCCAAATAATTTATCTTTCAATTTTGAATATTCAAAATCATGTTGGAGGTTTCAATTGACGATGTAGATCTGAAGTTGACAGGGGGTAAATGAAATATGATCGTCAATTGTGCAGTCTTGCGATGGCTTGAATATAATTTCATATAAATTGAGCCGCACATACATTCCACTTATACAATAGAATATTTCATAAGCTTAATAAAATAACAATTATTTTTTAGTATAAAATATTTAGGAAAGACCATTTCTAGGTGGTACTGGGATGGGTTAATAATATTTTGTTCAATCAATCGAGAGGGAAGAAGAATAAAAAATGTAGAGATCAATATCCGCGCGGTGCACTCCCATCACAATGGTACACTCGGGGAAATCAACATTTTTTTATTTACCTACATGTACCAAGGGATTGAACTGCTGCATAACGCGAAATCTGATTGTTTTCAAGATTTTTTTATAATAGTGGATTTTTTACATTTTTATTCGACGATTAAGTGATCGATGTCAACGTTGCGTTATCCTGATATTTCACTGGATATGCGAGTAGGTTTCCTTTGTCCCATGTATATAATTCCTGGAGCAGAGAGAAATGATAATGAGAGGGGAAACATTTGAATTTCGGATTAGAGGATATAATAGCGCGGATAAATGGGCATGTGCGTTGATAATTCTGCAAATATCTCGAAAATGCGTGGTTTTGAGAGAGATTTTTTTGTCATGTCGATATTTTCAACATCGGAATATTTATTTTCAAACAATTTTTGATTGAAAAATTGAAACAAAAATTGAAGAAGATGTTTACTGAATTGATAAATCAATTCTCAAATAATTTTTTCTAAATTTATAATGGTTTCTGCAGAATTATCAAAAGTCAATTGTGAAATCTCTATCATATCTTCCAATTTCCGAGTTGGGTAGCGAAGTAGTGAAACGACATAAATCATCACAACTTGAAGGTGTGGTTTTGTTAAATATCTCCGATTTAAACTGGCGGAAGGGTCTGTTGAAAACTATCCGTGAAAAAATTATTTGGTGGGTTATTTTTTTCTGTTAGAAATTTCAACTAGAATTTTTTAATCTATACATTTAATTTATTCATAAATGAAGATGTGCGTTGATAATTCTGCAAATATCTCAAAAATGTGTGGTTTTATGGGACTTTTTTATTTCGATATTTTCAACATCACAATATTTATTTCAAAACAATTTTTGATTAAAAAAACAGAATATTGGAACAATAATTGAAAAAAAATGTTTATCAAATTGACAAATCAATTCTTCTGAATAATTTCTTTTTCTAAATTTATAATTGTTTCTGCAGAATTACTAAAAGTCAATTGAGAAATCTCTAGAATATCCCTCAATTTTAGAACTAGGTAGCGAAGTAGTGAAACAACATAAATCATCTCAACTTAAAGGTGAGGTTTTGATAAATATTTCCGATTTAAACTGACGGAAGGGTCTGTTAAAAATTACCGCTAAAGCAATCGTGTGGTTCGTTGGCTTTTTAGAGATTTTAACTGAAATTCTAATAAAAGATGCAATAAATCGAACAAGCAGTTTAATATTTTAATCTACGCACTGCACTTATTCATAATGATTCAACATCGAAATATGTATTTTAAAACAAGTTTTGATTTTAAAAAACAAAAAATTGGAACAATAACTGAAAGAAAATGTTTATCGAACTGATAAATCAATACTTGTGCATAATTTCTTCTTCGAAATTTATAATTATTTCTGCAGA